GGTCAGTGTCTTGGCACAGCTGGTCCCTTGGGAAAACAGAAGCCCCCCCCCCCCCTTCCCAGGAAAAAGTGATAGTGCTCCTTGGAAACCACCCAGCCACTGTCTGCTCTGGGTTTTTACCCCACCACCCTCATGAGGCTTATGTCTGGGAGGATCATGTGCCTCAAAGCTACTCAGTGTAAGTCTGGGCATGGTAGCTTATGCCTAGAATCCCAGCACTTTGGGAGGTTGAGGCAGGTGGACTGCTTGAGCTGAAAAGTTCAAGACCAGCCCTGGCAACATGGTGAAACCCCTTTTCTACAAAAAGTACAAAAGTCAGCTGGATAGGGGGTGGTGCATGCCCGTAGTCCCAGCTACTCGGGAGGACTGTTTGAGCCCAGAAGGTGTGGATTACAGCGAGCTGAGATTACACCGCCGCACTCCGGCCTGGGTAACAGAGAAAGTCTGTCTCCAAAAAAAAAAAAAAAAAAAAGCTGCTCTGTGTAGGTGGAAAATTTTCCATCTCTGCTTGTCACCCATCAGAATGAGTTGGGTTTTTCAGCTTGAGGGAGTAGTGGGGAGGCCGACTGTAGTCAGCACCCAGAAACAAGGAAGGAAGTAGCAGTAATTCCAGAGAACCAGAGGACTCCAACCAAGGTTGGAGTGGGACTTACCGATTGCCAGTGGTTCTAATATGAGGGTGATGGTGTTCCTGGCTGGGTCACCACAAAGATGATGATACAGGTGGGCTGGGGGAGGTCCCCAAACACCAGTGGGTCGTCGACCCTTGCTAATGTTCAGGCTCTTGACACCATCATGAGAATGAATTCAAGGATGAGTCAGAAAATAATGAAAGTATGGAGTTTTTTGGGGAAAAGCATATAGTCAAGAGTACAGGTGGACTCAAGAGAGACATGTGCAGGGGGGTTTGGGGCTGCTACCTTTAAAGGTTTCTTTAACCAACGAGTGGAAAATTCATGACAATTCCCGGAAAAAGGTGGTGTTTTCTCGGAACTGTGGTGGCACCCATTTGTACACAAAATATGGGTGTTTCAGAACTGTCATGGTCCTGATGGTTGTGTGTTTAGTGTGTTGGTGAGCATAGGAGGAGGTCCTAGGAGAGACTCGGATCCAATCCACTGCCATCATGGGTCTAGTCGGTCTTAGCCAGCTTGGTCCACACCCAGGCTGTTCAAGGGTTTATCAGTCTCTAGCTCTGCAGCGATTTCAAGTTTCCCTTTGCGCATTGTGCGAAACTGCTGCCTGGAATTGCTTTCCTTTTCTTCTTTTCTTTTCCTATTCTCTTTTTTCTTTCGTCCTCCTCCGTCACCCAGGCTGGAGTGCAGTGGGGCGATCTTGGCTCACTTCCACTCCACCTCCTGGGTTCAAGCGATGCTTGTGTCTCAGCCTCCCGAGTAGCTGGGATTACAGGCATGTGCTACCATGCTGGGCTAATTTTTGTATTTTTAGTAGAGATGGGGTTTCGCTGTGTTGGCCAGGCTGGTCTTGAAATCCTGACCTCAGGTGATCCGCCCACCTTGGCTTCCCAAAGTGCTGGGATTACAGGTGTAAGCCACCGCAGCCAGCCTAGAATTTTCTATTCTCCTGCAAGCAACCTGTTATTCTTGTCTCAGCTTCCCTGGACATCGTATCTAAGAACTCTCCCTGCTGACGCTGCTGCCCTGCCCTGCACTGCTGTCTCCACCCCCGCTTCATCCTTGTTAATTTTCTTTTCTTTTCTTTTCTTTCTTTCTTTTTTTTTTTTTTGAGACGGAGTTTCACTCTTGTTACCCAGGCTGGAGTGCAATGGCGCGATCTCGGCTCACCGCAACTTCCACCTCCTGGGTTCAGGCAATTCTCCTGCCTCAGCCTCCTGAGTAGCTGGGATTACAGGCACGCGCCACCATGCCCAGCTAATTTTTAGTATTTTTTAGTAGAGACGGGGTTTCACCATGTTGACCAGGATGGTCTCGATCTCTTGACCTCGTGATCCACCCGCCTCGGCCTCCCAAAGTGCTGGGATTACAGGCTTGAGCCACCGCGCCCGGCCCATCCTTGTTAATTTTCTCTGGGCACTTGTCACAGTCGAGCTCGTTTTGTTCCTTCACGGCTTTCCTTATTTAGTACTTGACTCCCCCACTAAAAATGAAGACTGCAGGAAGTTTTGTTTGTTGCTAGATCCTCAGTGCCTGTTGTTTTCATTTTTTGAACTGAATGAATGAATGCACGAATAAATAGATGGATGGATGGGGGAATAAGTGGACGAAAGGATGGGCTTGCGAAGGAACCGATGGATATGGATGTATGGACGGACGCATGGACACACGGGAGAAAAATCTGCCCATAGGAAAAGGCGGGCTGCTCCCGGTACATAACTTCCCCGAGATTAGGATGTGCTGCCACCTGGTGGTGGAAGTGACCATGGCCATTCTCTAGCTGGATCTGTTGTCATGGGAACAGAACCCAGTTCCTGGCCTCATGGACCTGACAGTCCCCTGAGGGAGCTGGACGCTGAAGCTACTGCAGATCGTGATAACACAGGTGGCATGGAGAATGGCTCACAGCATCATTCCGATTTAGCTCTTCTCATCGGAGAAGTCAGACTTGAGCTCAGGCCCAATGGATGAGGAGGATCTTGCCCCGAGGAAGCCGGAGAAGAGCCTTCTAAGTTTAGGGCCGGGGCTAGAGGGAGGCACTTGCTTCAGGCTCCAAATTGAAAGGATGCCAAAACATTCATTCATCAAGATAGGTAATATTTTAATGCAATGTTTGAAAAAACTAAATATTAATGCCAAACAATTATGATGAACCAAATGGCAAAATGTATATACAGGCAGGGCCGAACAGGGCAGAGCAAGTGGGTAAGCAAAAAGCAGAAGCCTGTATATATATATATACTTTTTTTTTTTTTTTTTGAGACGGAGTTTCGCTCTTGTTACCCAGGCTGGAGTGCAATGGCACCATCTCGGCTCACTGCAACCTCCGCCTCCTGGGTTCAGGTAATTCTCCTGCCTCAGCCTCCCGAGTAGCTGGGACTACAGGCACGCACCACCATGTCCAGCTAATTTTTGTATTTAGTAGAGACGGGGTTTCACCTTGTTGACCAGGATGGCCTCGATTTCTTGACCTCGTGATCCATCCGCCTCGGCCTCCCAAAGTGCTGGGATTATAGGCTTGAGCCACCGCGCCTGGCCTATATATAATATTTTAAGGACAGGTCTTGCTCTGTCACCCAGGCTAGAGTGCAGTGGCGTGATCACAGCTCACTGCAACTTCCAACTCCTGGGCTCAAGTGATCTCCCTACTTCAGCCTCCCAAGTAGCTGGGACATAGGCATCCACCACCACCCGGTAATTATTTATTGATTTGTTTGTTTGCTTGTTTTGAGACAGGGTCTCACACTTGTCGAGGCTGGAATGCAGTGATGCAGTTATGGCTCACTGCAGCCTCAACCTCCTGGGCTCAGGTGATCCTCCTGCCTCAGCCTCCCGAGTAGCTGGCACCACAGACATGTGCCACCATGCCTGACTAATTTTTAAATTATTTGTAAAGACGGGGTCTCCCTGTGTTGCCCAGGCTAGTCTTGAACTCCTGGGCTCAAGTGATCCCCCCACCTTGGCCTTCCAAAGTGTTATGATTACAGGAGTGAGCCACTGTGCCTGGCCTAATTATTTTTATAGAGATGGAGTCTTGCTATATTGCCCAGGCTGGTCTCAAACTCATGGGCTCAAGTGAGCCTCTTGCCTTGGCCTCCCAAAGTGCCGGGATTACAGATGTGAGCCATTGCACCCAGCCAGGCCTATGGAAAATTTTGATATTTTGTTCATCATTCAATTTTTTGGCATTAATTCTGATTTCTTTTTTTTTTCTTTTTGAGACAGAGACTCACTCAGTCTCCCAGGTTGGAGTGCAATGGCGCCATCTCGGCTCACTGCAACCTCCGTCTCCCGGGTTCAAGCGATCCTCCTGCCTCAGTCTCCCAAGTAACTGGGATTACAGGCACTCACCACCATGCCCAGCTGATTTTTGTATTTTTAGTAAAGACAGGGTTTCACCCATATTGGCCAGGCTTGTCTCAAACTCCTGACTTCATGATCTGCCTGCCTCAGCCTCCAAAAGTGCTGGGATTACAGGTGTAAGCCAGGGCACCAGTATTTTTAAACAGCTCATCAGATGACTGCAATGTGCAGCTGGGACTGAGACCTGCTAATATGGAAACTTCACCTTAGGGGCTCCGACTGGATTTAGACCCCTCTGTGCCTCTGGCTGCACTCAGAACCATTGTCACCTTCCTCAAAGAGCATTATTGAAGCATGCACCCACTTCAGCAACCTCCCCAAACCCTGGAATTGCCTGGTGTGATTTAAAGAATCCTAATGCCTGAGCTTCCACCCTAGAGAATCTGATCCATTTGGTTTGAGGTTTAGCCTGGGCCGGAGGACCTGCAAAAACTCCCCAGTACCTCAGTGTATGGCTGAAGTTGAGAATGACTCAATTAGAAAGAAGTGTATTTGGCACTGATTCTGTGCCCACCACTGTGCCAGTAAATTCTGTGTCCTCGTATTAACGAACCTGCCTCTGAGACTTCATATGCACCACTCCACTAATAGAAATGCCCCATCCAAGCACTGTTTATTTCCTGATCAATATCAATATATAGTTACTGTTAATACCCCAGGGCAGGCAGGCCTAACTTCTCTTGGTTTCGTCCATGTCTGATCACTAAGATTTCCAGGTTCCTGGTTTCCTCTACTGTAAAATAAATGTTGCAGAAAGTGAGCCCCAAGGTGCATTTGAGCCCCAACATTCAGGAGGTTGGGGACAGATGTCTGATTTGGCCTGGCTTATTGTCTCTGCCCAGGCAGAGCCAGCCAGAGTCACTTCAGAGGAGGCAAGAGCACAAACAGAGAGAGGAAGCCACATCCCGCAGCAAGACGGTCAGCTGGCTCTTCCTGGGGGCTGTGGCGAGAGGATCTGGGCCCTACTCATGGGCTGCTACTCTGACTGTGTTTGTCTTGCAGATTGTCACCATGGCCTGTGTAATCATCTGGCCCGGGAGACTGACTCTGTACTTCTGATGATTGGGTGAGTTGCTGGAGACAGCTGGTGGGTTTCACGGGGGTGAGAGGAGACAGGGTAAGTTTGTGGGTGATTTGTAGATCAGAGATGCCTTGACTCCCAAGAGGCACCTCTTGGACACATATCCACAGAGACAGGCACAGGAGTGCTCAAAAGAGCAAAAACCTGGAAACAACTCGCAGGCCGGTGAGCAGGAGCATGCTGAATAAACCGCAGTACGGTGACTATTCTATCCCATAACTACGGAGATGTTACGGAATGTTACATAGCCATTTAAATAAATGAACTAGAAAGGTATGCCATATTGCAAATGAATCTTAGTAGTATGAAACTCAGTGAAAAATTTTCAAAAAATTACGTAAAGCCCAATACTCATTTTGCAAAGGTAAACACGTTAAAACCAAAAGAATACTTTTGAGGAATCCACGTAGACATGATAAGACAATGTAACATAGAAAGAAAAAATGATAGAAACAGGATTCAGGGTAACCCTTTGTTAAGTTGGGGAAGAAGCAGAATGGGACGGTGGTGGGGTCGGCGAAGGTGAAGATCGTTTTCTGGCTGTTGTTTGGGGTGATGGTTCTGCTTATTGCATTGTCGAAAACTAATTAAGCTTCTGGTCCTGCAGAGACTAGTGCTGAGAGTCTCTTAAGATACAACCCTGGTCCAGTAAAAACAAAAGGGAGATGAGGGCATCTTTAGAGTGGATGGAGAGGGCAGTAGGGGCTCCTCACTTGGATTCTGGTTTTTGGCCCACGAGATCTCACGTCACTGGGAAAGAGTTTAGAGAAGGCCAGTGAGAGAAATTAAAATCTGCCTTTTTAGATTCTACCTCTACAATGAACCTCCTCAAACAGTAGCTGCCCCTAGGCTTTGGTAGACAGAACAGCTGTGTGGCTTAAACAAAGTCACTTAGCATCTCTGGTCCTCCCTGATGAGACTGAGGAAGCCAGCACTTTCTAATATTCATCCACATACCTCCCAGGTAGCTTATCACTGTGTCTGAAATTCCACCATGAAAGTCTATGTCACCAAAGGCCTTTGTGATAATAAAAAGATCCCTTGAACAGGTAGCACATAAAGGTATCAATAAGCACCTGCATTAATACCTTGTAGGAAATTGCTTAGGATACCATTATCCCAGGTGCTTAGAAAGACCTGGTGCATGGGCCAGGGCAGTTTTGATACAGTGGCTGATGGAGTGGCATGCACAGATAAGGGCTTCAAGGAGGCTGCAGGGGGACAGTAGCTGGGAGGAGACTCCCTGAGAGACACTGAAGGAAGGAAGATGTCTAAAGCCTGGATGGGACTCCCTACCCAAGCGCCTGGAGAAGATGGGTCTTTTGACCATTGATTCTGTGAAGCCTTTACCTCAGGTGGGTTTCTTAATTTGGGCTGCTATGCCAAATTACCATAGATGGGTCAGTTTAAACACATTGATTTTTCACGGTTTTGGAGGCTGGAAGTCCAGGATCAGGGTGTCAGCATGGTCCAGCTCTAGTGAAGACCCTTTTCCAGGCTGTAGACTGCCACCTTCTCCTTGTATCCAAACGTGGCAGAAGGAGAAGCCAGAGCACTCTCTAAAGCCTCCTTCGTAAGGGCACTAATCCTGTTCACGAGGGGTGCACCCTCATGGCCCGGTCACTTTCCTAACACCCTCACATTGCAGTGTAGGATTTCAACATGGGAATTTGGGGGGTGGGGGTGGACACACACATTCAGTCCATCACAGTGCGCAAGAGAGGAGTGCAGGGAGGCACAGGAGAATTTCTGCCTCTTTCTGGAAGGTCAGAGATTTTGCTGACAGAAAGTACCTAATATTTGTTATCCCCTTCATCATGTTGCAGCTGTATATTCAACATTTGGTGAGGAATATTCACTTCTAGAAATGGAAAAATGAAAGCTGAGGTTTGTGCTCATGGCTGCCAGGTGCAGGGGTCACCTCCCTGCAAGGACCCTCTAAGAAGCATGTGTTTTGCCTGAGCTTTCGTGGGAACCTGTCTTGTTAACATAGATAGTTTATTATTATTACTATTATTATTATTATTTTGAGACGGAATTTCCGTCTTGTCACCCAGGCTAAAGTGCAATGGTGCTATCTCAGCTCACTGCAACCTCTGACTCCTCCTGGGTTCAAGCAATTCTCTTGCCTCAGCCTCCCAAGTAGCTGGGATTACACGCATGCGCCACCATGACCGGCTAATTTTGTATTTTTAGTAGAGACGGAGTTTCTCCGTGTTGGTCAAGCTGGTCTGAAACTCAGACTTAGGTGATTCACCTGCCTCGGCCTCCCAAAGTGCTGGGATAACAGGCATGAGCCATTGCACCCGGCCCAACATGGACAGATTTATCAACATATTGACCATCTAGGAAATGGGCAATAGCATTATTGGGCAATGTTTCCTAGATGGGCGCTATATTATGCTGCAGTCACCCAAACTCTATTTTGAAAGATGAAGCTTTAAAGTAACTTTTAAAGGAAACAAAATTTAAGGTCTAATAGAAGGCAGTGGTTTTCAAACTGGTTCCCTTGAACCCTAGGGTTCCCTGTGATGTCTCAGAGACAACTATGGAGGTCAAAGAAGAATGAGAGAGGGAGGGCTTAGGTTCCTTACACTTGGGCAAAACCAGAACAATCGCATTTGTTTATTTTATATGGCGGGGCTCGTATATCATTTTTTTCTACTCAGAAAAAAAATAATTTTATTGTTTTAAGTTGAAAGCTACTAAAGTGTCATTTTTCCTTATGAGCTTCTTCCAAATTCAATGCAATAATTCGAATATACCTTTTCGATGTTTTCTTTTCTTTCTTTTCTTCTTTTTTGAGATGGAGTCTCACTCTGTTGCCCAGGCTGGAGCGCAGTGGCACAATCTCACCCTCCGCCTCTTGGGTTCAAGCGATTCTCCTGCTCAGTGTCTCGAGTACCTGGGATTACAGGCCCCCACCACCACAACCAGCTAGTTTTTTATTTTCTCTGTCCTTGACTTTCTTTGAGGAGACATACTTTGGAAACCAAACCTTAGGATATTTAAGACCAACTTCCTAGTGTTCTTCATCAGCCACTGGCACCTGGGTCTTCTGCAGCATGAGCTGTATGTCTCCGGGCTAGCTTTCCGTCTCGACACGGCACCTTCAGAACAGTTCCAGCCCCTCTCGCCTTCCACACTGGAGTGCAGGGTACGGTCACAGCACACTGCAGCCTCAACCTTCTGAGCTCAAGCAGTCCTCCTGCTTCAGCCTCCCGAGTAGCTGGGACGACAGGTGTGAGCCACCATATATGCCTGCTCAAATTTTTAATTCGATTTTTGATTTAAAAAAATTCTGGCTGGGCGCAGTGGCTCACGCCTGTAATCCCAGCACTTTGGGGGACTGAGGTGGGTGGATCATGAGGTCAAGAGATTGAGACCACCCTAGCCAACATGGTGAAATCCCATCTTTACTAAAAATACAAAAAAAATTAGCTGGGCGTGAAGGCGTGCGGCTGTAGTCCCAGCTACTCGTGAGGCTGAGGCAGGAGTATCGCTTGAACCTGGGAGGTGGAGGTTGTGATGAGCCGAGATGACACCATTGCACTCCAGCCTGGCAACAGAGCAAGACTCCATCTCAAAAAAAAAAAAAAGTCTGCCTGAAAGTAACATCCCCTTGGCCTTAGTGTCCTCTCCCCCTTTCTCTGCAGACGGGCAGTGGGACTGGCAGTGGTGTTGTTTGCATTTTTTTTTTTCAGCTATTGCTGGTTGTTTTGCTCCAGAAGCAAATAGCTTCAATGAAAGCAAAGTTGCATCATCTCATAGGGAGTTTACAGGAAGCAGACAGAGCACAGGCTCGGAGTAGAAAATCCTGGACTGTGAGTCTAGGCAGGTCCTTCATATGCTCATAGGGAGACAATGGGGATCAAATCCTTACTTCATAGGGTTATTCTGAGGATTTAATTAGATACGGTCCTGTAAGGAGGGTTGAGGACTCTGTTGAAACAGCTCCCTGGCCACACTCCACACTGGCCTACCGTGGCTCCCTGCTTGCTTTCTAGGTACCGCATGGTTCCTGACCACCATTCCCCTGCCATTTTCCACGACTGCCTGAATGCCTCTGTTTACTTCCTGAAGGCTCTGGAAACCTATGGGGTGGACCCCTCCAGGGTTGTGGTCTGCGGAGAAAGCATCGGAGGCGCAATGGCGGCCATCATCACCCAGGCCCTGGTGGGTAGATCAGATCTTCCCCGGATCCGGGCTCAGGTCCTGATCTACCCGGCTGTCCAGACATTCTGTTTGCAGTTACCATCCTTTCAGCAGAACCAAAATGTCCCGTTCCTTTCCCGGAAGTTCATGGTGACCGTTCTGTGTTACTATCTGGCCATTGACCTCTCCTGGCGCGATGCCATTTTGAACGGCAGCTGTGTACCCCCGGATGTCTGGAGGAAGTATGAGAAGTGGCTCAGCCCTGACAACATCCCCAAGAAATTTAAGAAAAGAGGCTTCCAACCCTGGTCTCCGGGCCCTTTTAATGAAGCTGCCTATCTAGAAACCAAACATACGCTGGATGTAGAGAATTCTCCCCTGCTAGCAGATGATGAGATCATCGCTCAGCTTCCCGAGGCTTTCCTGGTGAGTTGTGAGAATGACATACTCCGTGATGACAGCTTACTCTATAAGAAGCGCTTGGAGGACCAGGGGGTCCGTGTGACGTGGTACCACCTGGAGGATGGTTTTCACGGATCCCTTATCTTTTTTGATAAGAAGGCTTTCTCTTTCCCATGTTCCCTGAAGATTGTGAACGCTGTAGTCAATTATGTAAAGGGCATATGATAGTAACCCTGGAGGCCCGGGGAGGAAGGGGTAAGTATGGACTCTACCAGAAACTGGGTGCTTTAGTGAGCTCTACTTTATTGACTGAAGCGGTGCTACGCCAATGCTTGGGTCAGCTGGGAAGGGTGAGAAGGAAGCTAACGGTCCTGCCTAGTGTTCAAGAAAATCCCAATTCTGTGTGTTTCCTTTTGTCACTAACAGTGTCCAGTTCCAGATCTAGCAGCATTCTTTAGCATTCCATTCAGGTGAAATAAATATCAAAAGAAGCAAAATGGCCTTAAAAATTTCTCAAAGCCCTAACATATAAGATCTGTGCAGAATAAATGCCAACAACTGGTCATGCTGTCAGTGGTGAATCTATACCCATGATGACAAAACATTGCTCGGGGCTGTGGAGCCTGTTGGAGGAGGGCGCACTTAATTGTTCCTGTGGTCAAAGGTCACTGGTCAAATCCCAACTTTGATTGGTTCCAGCTAGTCTGAGAAATGCTGTTGCAATGAAATTCTACCCTTGACACAGCCACCCTTGGGCTGGACTAAATGAAGATCTCAGAGGGGATTGTGGGAAAGAGAGGAACAGAGAAAGAGGCAGGAGGAAAGGAACAGAAGAAAAGGGTGGGCTCTGGGGAGCTGTGAGCTTTGCCTGGGCTCAAGTCTTTCATCTGAGTTTCAAAAACAGACCACTGGCTACTAACAGACAGGCTCACCAAGTCAGGATGTCTTGGGAACCTCTGGGTGCCATCTGGAATATAAAAAATGCCTTTCCTGCATCCTGGCCAACATGGTGAAACTCCATCTCTACTAAAAATGCAAAAATTAGCTGGGTGTGGTGGCATTCACCTGTAATCCCAGCTACTCAGGAGGCTGAGGCAGGAGAATTCCTTGAACCTGGGAGACAGAGGTTGCAGTGAGCCAAAATCATGCCACTGCACTCCAGCCTTGGCCACAGAGTGAGACTCCGTCTCAGGAAAAATAAATAAATAAATAAAATAAAATAAAAACTGCATTTCCTAAGGGAGTAAGGTGATAACCTCTTTTCTTTGATGAGCTTGTATATTGTTCTCACATTTATAAAGAATCGTGCCCTGGCTTAGCCATACCAATTTCTCTGCTCACAGGGAAAAGAAAGTGAACCTTTGTATTGCATGTTGGAGGTGACCCATACTAGTTTTTGCATTGGGACCATGTATGCTAGATATATCTGTACTACCCACGGGCCCAGTGCTGTCAGTCTCACCAAAGTCCCTCACAAATGCTGAAGCTGGAGGTTCTTCCAACCAAAGCCTCAGTGGGTACCAACGACCCTACCTATGACTTATGGAAGATGGGGTCCTACAGGTGTCTTGGTTCTTTGCAAAGAGAGCAGGCATTCAAACAGGCAATTTGGACTTGGCACCTGGGGGCATGAGCAGACAGTGTGACTCATGGATTATATGTAAGCAGCTTTGATGGAAACCTGTGTTAATTATCTATTGATGTATAACAATATTGCCACAAGCATGATGGCTTAAAACATTACACATTTATTAGCTCACAGTTTCTGTAGGTCAGGAGCCTGAGCATGGTTTAGCTGGGTTGTTCGTTTAGGGTTCTGCAAAGCTACAGTCAAGGTGTTGGGGCTGTGGTCTCATCTGAGGCTCAGTTGGGGAAGGATCTATTCTCAAGCTTGGTCAGGTTGTTGGCAGAATTCAATTCCTTGTGATTATAGACTGAGGACTTCAGTTTCTTGCAAGCTGTGGTCAGAGGTCAATCTTAGCTTCTAGAGGTCACCTATAGTGTCTTAACACATGAAATTCTCCAAATGACTGCAAGGAAGAGATAGACTCAAGTTATTAGAACTAACTAAGGTAGCTATTGGAACTAATGTAAGGTAATCATAAATGCATATCACATACATGTCATCACCTTTGCTACATGCTATTGGTGAGAAGCAAGTCATAAGCCTTGTCCACAAGGGTATGATCACTGTGGGGTGGGGACCATGAGGCCGCATTAGAGCATGTCTTCCATGGAAGGCTCACCAGGAGGTGTTGGGAAGAACAGTCAACCCAACTTCTCAGCCAGAGAAACCCAGGATGGTCTGTAATCATTGGCTTGACCTGGAGCTAGTGACCAATGATTCCTCCAGTAGAGTTCTCTTCCCAATTCTGACTCTCTCTTCTCCCACTCTCATTACTCCCATATTTACTTCCATGGGTGGTGTAATTTGCACCTTCCTCTAAGCTCTTCCAAGCATGTGTTTATGATGTAAACTCTATGTCCTTGCATTAGGTAGGGTCCAATCAGGAGAAATAAACCATACCAGCAGTCCTCTTCTTTTCTCTTGAAAGTCTTTATCAGCCTCTAAGTAGAATCAAATCTTCATAAGCTATTTTCTACCTCTGAGAACCTAGCTAACACTTATATCTGGGAACACTTATAAGAAATTGTGAACACAGAAATCACTAGACTCTGGTTCTGAATTGACACCAATCTTGAGGACAGTGTTTCTGTGGCTTTCCCAGTCAAAGTGGGGGCTTTCTGTGGTCAGGTGAGAAATGAAGTCTTGCCTCAAGTCCAACTCTCATTGGGTCAATTTGTCCACAGACACATGTGTTCATTATATCTCTAGTGCCTCAATGTAGCATGGAAATAGACATATTTGGAAACTGACAGAATCCTACGTTGGCTCTATGATCAAAGAAATGAGGGTCATTATGGCAGGAAGCACTATGTGGAAGACCCTGAAACTTCTCCTCAAGATAATAAGCCAGAAGCAGTCTGCCCCCCCAACAGAGAACTGCAGAGATTCATACCATCCTAAAAGATTTAAAAAAGCACCTATCACACCCTGATCTAGTTCACCAGTTTGAAATGTGCAGAAGTCTGATCGATCTTGGAGAATGCATATGAGTGATTCTAAAATTACTCATGCAGTGATTTCGATTCCAGCTGTTTTTCCAGTCCAGGTTTTCTTCTATGGTTTTTATGGTTTGGGGTTTTATATTTAAGTATTTAATCTATCTTGAGTTAATATTTGTGTAAGGTGTAAGGAAGGGGTCCAGTTTCAGTTTTCTGCCTATGGCTAGCCAGTCCTGAATGGTATTGCCTAGGTTTTCTTCTATGGTTTTTATGCTTTTGGGTTTTACATTTAAGACTTTAATCTATCTTGAGTTAATTTTTGTATAAGGTGTAAGGAAGGGATCAAGTTTCAGTTTTCTGCTTATGGCTAGCCAGTTTTCCCAATGCCATTTATTAAATAGGGAATCCTTTCCCCTATTGCTTGTTTTTTGTCAGGTTTGTCAAAGATCAGATGGTTGTAGATGTGTGGTGCTATTTCTGAGGTCTCTTTTCTGTTCCATTGGTTTATGTGTCTGTTTTGGTACGAGCACCATGTTGTCTTGGTAACTTGTGGTATAGTTTGAAGTCAGGTAGCCTGATGCCTCCAGTTTTGTAATTTTTGCTTAGGATTGTCTTGGTTATGCAGGCTCTTTTTTGGTTCCATGTGAAATTTACAGTAGTTTTTTTTTCTAATTCTGTGAAGAATGTCAATAGTAGTTTGATGGGAATAGCAGTGAATCTATACATTACTCTGGGCAGTATGACCATTTTCACTACATTGATTCTTTCTGTCCATGAGGATGGGCAAAGGATATGAACAGACACTTCTCAAAAGAAGACGTTCACGTGACCAACAAACATATGAAAAAAAGCCCAACATCACTGATCATTAGAGACATGTGAATGAAAACCACAATGAGATACCATCTCAGTCAGAATGGCAATTATTAAAAAGTTAAGAAACAGTAGATGTTGGGGAGGCTGTGGAGAAATAGGAACATTTTTACACCGTTGGTGGGAATGTAAATTAATGCAACCATTGTGGAAGGCAGTGTGGGGATTCCTCAAGGATCTTGAAACAGAAATACCATTTGACCGAGCAATCCCAGTACTGGGTATATACCCAAAGGATTATAAATCATTCTACTATAAAGACACGTACACACGTATATTTATTGCCACACTATTTACAGTAGTGAAGACATGGAACCCAAATGCCAATCAATGGTAGACTGGACAAACAAAACGTGGTACATATACACCATGGAATACTCTGCAGTGTGAGTATGTCCTTTGACATGAGATCAGAAAGAATGAGATCATGTCCTTTGCGGGGATACAGATGAAGCCGGAAGCCCTCATCCTCAGCAAACGAACACAGAACAGGGACGCAAACATCACATGTTCTCACTTGTACGTGGAAACTGAACAATGAGAACACATGGACACAGGAAGGGGAATAACACACACCGGGGCCTGTTGATGGGTGGAGGGCAAAGGGAGGGAGAGCATTAGGACAAATACCTAATGCATGTGGGGCTTAAAACCTAGATGACAGGTTGACAGGTGCAGCAAACCACCATGGCACCTGTGTACCTCCATAACAAACCTACACGTTCTGCATGTGTATCCCGGAATTTAAAGATATATATTTTTAAAGATAACAGGGAAAAGCTTAGGCAGGTTTGCTCACTTCTAAAAGATTTGGAATCCCTGAAGGTCAGAGTTCCTCAGCTGTGATACAACTTTACCAGGCATAGCGTCCGCCTGGCTTCTCTGTGTCATTCCCATGGGATCTGGGAGGCAAAGAGAACCAGCGCTAATGTAAAGCTCATTCTGTTTGCCATGCTATACATCATAATAATCTTTGAATCTGAGCCTGACCTCTCTTGTTTTCTGGCAGTACCCATGAAACTATGGCAGTCTAACTTGGTAGTTTGCAAGTACGATAAGAATCTGAGACCTGTTCCCCAGTTCTTGACACAGCCTTGACAGCTCTACTCTGCCACCTCAAACAATGTTAAGGTTTGTCAGCAGAAGATGCTGGAGAAATACTGGGAAAGGGTGGGCTTCTCATCTGAGTTCTGGTGTGCTCTTCTTGCCAGATGTCTGCAGTTCATGGTTTCTCTACTGTGGATTCCTGCAGCATTCAGTTTTGCCAACATGTGGGTCCCACTGAGAAAGCCTTCTCTGATGCCTAGCTCCTGCAGTACCCAGTGGCCGTCACACCCAGTGACCAGCAGTCTCCTTTGGTAACATTCAGATGGTTTTGCAGCAGAGTGTCACCAACTAGGCACTCTCCCATGAATGACTTTTTGGCACCTTTTCTAGTTACCTATGACCATGTCCTCTAAACTAAGGTCAGATCTTGACCTAGGAGCAGTGGCTGATTCTTATATCTGTGACTCCCTATCTCTGTCTCCTAGTTTGACCCTAATACAGCATCTAAAGT